CCATGTAAAATGATCCAAAAATTGGGGTTGTATTGCCCAGGAGCATAGCCCAACCGTGCCAACATCATCTGCACCCAAGGATGCAACGGCAACCTCAAACCATACTTGTACATGGCTGAGAACACCATCACGCAACCATTAGGTGGATACCTCACCACTTCTGTTGGCGTTGGCAACCTTAACCCCACACAGTCTGGAATCAAATAATCCGCCTTCAACTGCTCCAACTCGTAGATACTAAGCTTGTTCCTCCTCGGCAGCAGAACACCTACTAGCACATTCACACCACCAGAGGCCATCACTACAGTCCCAGACCCAGACGGCTCCCCTTGCCCACTTGAACTAACTTCAGACGCCTGAGTTATACCCAAGACCCGGTTAGCAACGGCCTCTAGGGCAGTATAATTCCTTTGCATCTCCCTGTAAGCTTCCCCCCATAGCTAATTGATTGCTTCTCTCTCTATGACCTATTTTTCTCCACTATCAACCCCTTCACCATACCTTCGGACTCAGTACTCTCCTCAGATCCCAAGGCTTCGTCATGTTTATGACTCTCCAAGTCCTCCCCACTGAAGGCATGGGTACTTGGCATACTTTGACTATTTCTTTTAGAATTATCAGACATCTACAAACAGAAAAATATAGAAACTAATGGGCATGCGAAGATTGAAAACAAGTCCCTATGCATGTTCTACAATGTTCATCAAGTTCATCCTAATTCATATAAAAAATGAAAAGTTCATGCACAAATTCAACAAAAAGGCGCATTTCAATCCAAAAAGGTGGGACAAAACAAGTTGTACCTTGTTATCTCCGCTGTACACGACTGCAGGAAATCACCCATGCCTAGTCGCAAATCGCCTCCGCCGCAGAGTACTTCACTGGAAATTGCCTAGCTTTTCTCCAAAAAACTTTCGAAAATTTTCCAAGTGCCCTCACTTCTCCACTTCGTCTCCCTTTTATGGATGCCAAAAGGATGCATCGGAATGCAAACCATCGCCATTACCTCCTAACCACCTCACTAGGAATGATGCTTCGATCCCAACAAAGCCCTTAAAAAAATTTCTGACAAGTGGCATTGCATAGTGACGACACACCTTCGGTTCAGCATCCTACGTGCCGAATGTGCAAGGGATCCAAGCGACAAGTGTGGTGACGTCAACCATTCCATTCGGCACCTTTCGTGCCAAACGCGCAAGGGGACTCACGCGACACGCGTAGTGGCATCACACCTTCCATTCAGCACCCTCTATGCCAAACGTGCAAGGGATCCACGCAATGAGCAAGATGACGTCAACCCTTCCGTTCTACACCCTTAGTGCTGAACGCGCGAGGGGACTCACGTAACATAAGTAGTGGCGTCACACCTTCCGTTCGGCACCCTCTGTGCCGAACACGCTCTACACCCTTCGTGCCGAACGCGCGAGGGGACTCACGCAACAGAAGTAGTGGCGTCACACCTTCCGTTCGGCACCCTCTGTGCCGAACACGCTCTACACCCTTCGTGCCGAACGCGCGAGGGGACTCACGCAACAGAAGTAGTGGCGTCACACCTTCCGTTCGGCACCCTCTGTGCCGAACACGCTCTACACCCTTCGTGCCGAACGCGCGAGGGGACTCACGCAACAGAAGTAGTGGCGTCACACCTTCCGTTCGGCACCCTCTGTGCCGAACACGCTCTACACCCTTCGTGCCGAACGCGCGAGGGGACTCACGCAACAGAAGTAGTGGCGTCACACCTTCCGTTCGGCACCCTCTGTGCCGAACACGCTCTACACCCTTCGTGCCGAACGCGCGAGGGGACTCACGCAACAGAAGTAGTGGCGTCACACCTTCCGTTCGGCACCCTCTGTGCCGAACACGCTCTACACCCTTCGTGCCGAACGCGCGAGGGGACTCACGCAACAGAAGTAGTGGCGTCACACCTTCCGTTCGGCACCCTCCATGCCGAACGCGCAAGGGGACTCATGCGACACATGTAGTAACGTCACACCTTTCGTGCCGAACATGAAAGAGGACACGCAACTCTCAAGTTGACGTCACACCTTCTGTTTGGCACCCTCCGTGCCGAACGTGCAAGGGGACTCTCAAGTTGACGTCACACCTTCTGTTCGGAACCCTCCATGCCGAACGTGCAAGGGGACTCATGCGACACGCATGCTGACGTCACACCTTCTGTTCGGAACCCTCCATGCCGAACGTGCAAGGGGACTCACATGACATGCATGCTGATGTCACACCTCCCGTTCGGCACCCCTTGTACCGAACGCCTAAGGGAACTCACGCGACACGTGTAGTGACGTCACACCTTTCGTGCGGAACGTGCAAGGGGACTCACACAACACACATGCTAACGTCACACCTCCTGTTCGGCACCCCCCGTGTTGAATGTGCAAGGGGACTCCGCGACGCGCATGCTGATGTCACACCTTCCGTTCGGCACTCTCTATGCCAAACGTGCAAGGGGACTCACGCGACACGCATGCTAACGTCACACCCTACGTGCCGAACGTGCAAGGAGACTCACGCAACAAGCATGCTGACGTCACAACTTCCGTTGGCACCCTCCGTGTCGAACGTGCAAGGGGACTCTTGTGACACGTGACCAGCAGCTGACATCACCTTTCGGCACCCCTCGTGCCGAACACGCAGACACACCTGACTCTCGCATGCATTACCCTTTGGCACGACATACCGTCATCTTCGGCACCCACCATGCTGAACCTAAAGATGATTCCAAAAAAATAAATAATAATAATAATAAAAAATCAGCAGCTTTCCTTTGTCTTCCCCTATGCCGGTATCACAAGAATTCCCTTTTGAAGACCGCCTTCCCAACAAACGTGCCTTCTCGCTTCATAGCTTGGGGGACTAGGGGGACTGCCTACGGCACCCGTCATATCGAAACGCATAGCTTGGGGGACTAGAGGGACTGCCTACGGCACCCGTCATATCGAAACGCTCAGTTTAATTACATAACATTCTACAAGTTCCCAAAAACAGAAGCCACTCCTTGATTCGCAACTTGGGAGACTATTGTTTACACCATAATCAATCAAGCATATTCGGCATTTGACAACTGATACCTAGGCAGACACGCTAGCTGCCAAAGGGAAGAAACACACTAGCTGCCAAAGGGAAGAAACACTCCAAACATACACACGGACAAGCCCTTAGAAGACGAGTAACATCATCTCCTTCTTAGCCTACCAAAGGAAGGCCCCCTTCCGAAGCGGTAACCACCTGCCGAAGCTCCCGACTGCAGAACCTAGAACCACAGACATGTGTCACCTCCACAACAGTTTGCACAAAGTCCCACATCGAAACTTTGTGCAATACTCTCATTCTCACTTCCCTATAAATAGAGAACAGTACCAAAGTAAAAAGGGTAACTACTTTATCACCTTTACCGTTATTCTGCCAAAATTACCACACATAGCTGACTTAAGCATCGGAGAGCCTTCGGCAGGCACCACACCGATGTCCGAAGCTTGACGACTGTTTCTTCCTTGTTTCCTTCTACAGGGTTTTCTCGTACTAAGGTTTTGTCACCTTCTTCCCCTCCTGAAGGTCTAGCACTCATTTACCTAAGTTGACCCTCCCAAAAAGAGCATCAACAGAGTGGTCCAAACGAAGTCATTTTCTTCAATTCAATCTTGGATTTTTTCCCTTGGTTGTAAGAAAATGTTTTTGAAAGATTTGACACCTTTCTTCATTAGGTAAAGTTTTATGTATCTACTGTATTTTTCTAAAATCTAATTGGGTTTTAGGTAATCATGTTGTTCAATAATCGTCTTCATTTTTATCACAAATCGCTAGAGTCAACAAGATAGATTTCACGAATTGTAATGTCAACAATTCATTTCATGTTGAATATAAGCATAAGCAATATGGCTTGCACTTGCATCTAACTGACATGTTTTACTCTATTGGCGCCTACAAAGAGAACCGCGAAAAAAGGACAAAAATTTCTTGTTTGCATCCAAAACAATCCATAAAATAAAGTTCTTCTACAACAGAAAGTATTTAAGTCCTTCAACCCTCGATGAAGTAACTTATGTTGGTTATCATCTTTTTCAATTTACATTTGCTACAGATTAGCACTCTCTAGACCACATTAATCTTGATATCATATGCTTTTTAGATATGTATTCATTACCTACTGCATTCTCAATAAGTATCAATTCTTCAAACAAATGAAAGACTTTCCGTGCTTGTTGAGCCTGAAGATCAGGGCCGTCCCTGAGATTTTGAGGGCCCTGTGCGAAACTTAAATTGGGGCCTCACATAATCTAATACAAAAATACTATAAAAAAAAAAAAATTGCCATAACTTAATGTTATAAACAATTTTTTTATAACTAAAAGTCACCATCAATAAATATGTAATGACAATTAGAAATCAAATTCATAAAAATTTAAATGTGTCCATTTGATAAATTTAAATGTTTGGTACAAAAATAACCTCCTTGTGCCTGCCCCTATAAGGTCCCTTGCTGCCTCAAATAAGCAATCTCTGGTTAATAGGAAAAAAAAATTGGCAATCACAAATTAAAGAGTAGCATAACTATTTGATTTTGAGTGGTCTTTATGAATTTAGGAATTATGAATTTCTCTTTTTGGTGTTGAAATTCCTGAAATTGAAAGAATAACAAAAATGGTCAAAGGACTGAAAAAAGAACCAAAAGAAAGATTGATGAATGATGATGATTACTTTACCAGAAAATCAGAGTTTAAGAGAAAGAAAAACCATGAAGTGTTTTTGGTTTTGAAGTAAAAAGTGTTTGGGGAATATATATACTCTTCTTGTTGTTAGCTTCGATATTTCCCTTTTTTTCTTTAAAAGGCTTTCTGTTTTTTTTTATTGATATTTATAATAATTATGTAAAGTTTGTGGTTATAAAGCAAAAATAATATGAAAAAAGCCAAATGGACTGACTTCAGCGAGAATCGAACTTTGGCGCTTCCGACAAGTGAACATGCGCTGGAGCCAACTCCACTAGACACGCTCTTGTGCAAGTATTTTGCACGCTATACTATATATACAATTCCTATAATATTAATATATACAATATAAAGAATTTTTTTTTGGGGCCCTCAAGAATCGGAGGCCCTGTGCGGTGGCGCCACTTGCACCACCCCAGGGCCGCCCCTGCTGAAGATCATAGATGAAAGGACAAAGCCACATGCAAGGGTAGTTTGATGCTCCCAACCAACCAAACCATAGAGCATCCGAGGATCCATGTAAATTCTCATAGCACCACAAATTCTTGTCTTTTGAAGCAGCATTTATAAAAAGATGAAAAAGAAAGAGACTACTAATTTATCACACAAGCTAACAAGTTTTTGTTGTAGGGCATACCATATGCAGTACTATTAACCAGAGGAGCATCCAACTCAATGAATTCATTTTTCAAGAACATGGTGGTCCCTTTTGTTGTCTGTTAACCAGAGGAGCTAGCTAGGTAGGGAATCCTATTTCTACACAAGGATAGAGTTTGATCATTTTCACGAGAAATCTCTTGCGGAAGGGTTACATGAGCACGAAAACAAGCCCATGTGATTTGGGTACAAGCTATTGGTCCTCATTGCTTCTCCTCTCATTGCCCATTCAGTACCAATCATTTCATGTACCTGATGATTTTCTGCAAACCTTTCATCTATATATATATATACTATGCTTGGATTCCATCATGAGCAACTCAAGTCTTATCCTTCCCATGCACCGAAGCTCTCTCTGTTTTTTCC